CAGAATCCGACCTCGGCATCAATAAAGTCAACTCTCGGTCAAACTTCTCAACTTTCCAAACCTTCAACTTTCGTCAATTCAAGCCAAAATAACCTACGGACCTCCAAATCAATATCCGAACATGCTCATAAGTCCAAAATCACCATATGAAGCTATCAGAACCATCAAAACTCCATTCCGGAGTCGTCTATATAAAAGTCAAATTCCGACTAACTCTTCTAACTTAGACTTTCAACTTTGAGACTAAGTATTCCAATTCATTCTGAAACTCACCCGAAACCAAACCAACCAATCCGGCAAGTCACATAGCTACAATATGATATAGAGGAGGCAATAAATAGGGGAACGAGGCTATAATACTCAAAACGACCGGTCGGATCGTTATAGTAAGCAAGGAGCAACACTTGTTAAACTTGAAATTTTGCCATGGGGCGAGCGAGGTCAAAATTCAATAGTGATATTGAGGGCTCGTTTAGCCATATAAATGTTTTTCACTTTTTCGAAAAAATTCACTTGAAGTTAAATTTGGAATTTTCAAAAATTTTAAAAACTCCAAAAAACTGTTTTCTAATATTTTCATTTCAAATCACTCACAAAAATTCAAAAATCGCTCTAAATTGTATTCATGTTCAAATACAACTCTAATTTTCAAATACAATTTCCACTTGATTTTTTTTTTTTTTACTTTTATTTTTGAAATTTTGCCATTCTTATGTTCAAACGCTCACTAAAGCACTTATTTCTGTTATGCACCGGGTCAGGATGCAATATCTTTACTTGTTGAATCAGTCCTGCCCCAAACCAATATCTGACTTGCAGGTTAATCGGCTCGGCCCATTAAGACATTATTTAAAAAGAATAATGGGGTTCTTTAGCAAATACCCATGGGGTGATAAGTATTTACCCTGCCCTTCCCACTTTAGTTTCTCCTACCAATTCTTTTTAATATCCAACCAAATAAAGTCAAACTAAGCTACTATAAACCAAGTCAATTCAAGCCAAGTCAAGCCAATTCAAGCCAAAACAAAGCCAAGCCAAAATCAAGTCAAGCCAAGCCAAACAAAGCCAAACCAAATCAAGCTAAGCTAAAACAAAATGACTTAAAAAAAGTTGGGATGGGTGGGTAGGTATGGGTAATTAATTTTAATTGGGTAGGTATATATTGTAAATAGTTTTTAAATGGGTAGGAAAGAGTAATTATTTTAAGCTTAATGGGTATTTTACATAAATTGATCAAGCATAATTACACCTATTTAAAAAAAGACGAACTAAATTCATTTCCTAATAGCAAATATTATGCGAAATCCAATTTTCAAAACCCCATCTCTCCCTCTTTTCTCATTTTTCTTATGTATTGAAATAATAGCTGTAAAAATAGTCTAATTTAGTATGCTTCTCAAATTTTAAATTTTTTAATTTTTCTTTTATTTTTATTCTAATTGACTTCGTACGGTCATGTATTTTCAAGATCGTATATGTATAAAGTATGAAATTTTTATTATTTGTTAATTAACATATCTTGTGTTTGTTTCATTTTCTCCTTATATATTTCAAAATTTTAAGTTATAAAGTTCTAATTCAATTTGTTATAAATAGAATGTACATTTTTTTTAAAATTTCAAAACTCAAATTTGAAATATTAGTAAAAGCAAGTTTTGTGCTGGGTGCTTCGGAGCTCTCCAAGAGTCGTTGTGATTTTGGATATTGTGGCGCATAAGAGTTGAGAAGGTTGAGTGGGCTATGTATAAGATGAATAGGGGTAGAGTGACCAAGACTAAATACATGTGGAATTCAGAAGAATGCGAGTATGACAGGCATGGAATGGGCCACTGAGTTGTTTAACGTTATGTTTAGGACAAAGAAGATGCCTGAAGAGTGGAGGTGGAGTACGATAATTTCATTGTACAAGAACAAGGGATCTATCTAAAATTGAAATAACTATAGGGGTATCAAGAAGCTAAGCCATACTATGAAATTCTAGAAGAGGGTGGTAGAAGTGAGGGTGAAGCCATACTATGAAAGCCTTATTCGACAACCAGTTCGGATTCATACTGGATCGTTCGACTACGAAAGCCATTCACCTTTTAAGGAGATTGGTGGAGCAGTATAGTGAGATGAATAAGGACTTGTATATGGTGTTCATTAATCTGGAGAAAGCTTACGATAAAGCCCCGAGAGATGTTCTATGGAGATGTTTAGAGGTTAGAGGTATGGTTGTACTCTATATTAGGGTGATTAAAGGACATGTATTATGGAGTTAAGACCCGCATAAGGACAGTGGGCGAAGACTCAGAATACTTTCTAGTTATGATAGGGTTGCACCATGGATAAACCCTTAGTCCATTTTTATTTTACTTGGTGATGGATGCCCTGACAAGACACATTCAAGGGGAGGTACCACAATATATGTTATTTGCATATGACATACTTCTGATTGACAAGATGCAGGGTGGTATTAATGAGAGGCTGGATGTTTGGAGACAGATCCTAGAATCTAAAAATTTCAAGTTGAGTAAGACCAAGACAGAATATTTAGAGTGCAAGTTTAGCAGCATAACCCAGATATCAGACATGGATGTGGGGCTTGATACACAAGTCATCCCAAATAGAGAAATTTTGAAGTATCTTGGATTAGTTATACAAGAAAATGGTGAGATTGATGAGGATGTCACACATAGTATCGGAACGGAATAGATGAAATTGAGGCTTACTCCGGTGTTCTGTGTGATAAGAATGTGCCACTAAAACTTAAAGGTAAGTTCTACAACTGGTTAGACCGATTATATTGTATAGGGTAGAGTGTTGGTCAGTCAAGAACTCTCATATCTAGAAGATGAAAATAGTTAAAATAAAGATGTTGAGATGGATGTGCGGGCATGCAAGGTAAGAGATAAGGTTAGGAATGAGAATATTCGAAAAAAGGTAGGAGTGGCCCTCGTGGAGGCTAAGATGCAGGAGACGAGGTTGGGATAGTTCGGACATGTGAATAGGAGAAGCACATATTCTCCAGTTAGCAGGTGTGAGAGGTTGGCCTTGGTGGGTATAAGGAGAGGTAGATGTATGCCGAAGAAGTATTGGGGAGAGGTGATTAGGCAGGACACAACTGGAACTTATAGAGGACATGACCCTTGATAGGAAGGTATGTAGGTCGAGAATTAGAGTAAAACGTTAGTAGATAGTCGAGCGTTCTACTTTTTCCTTCTCGTACCGGTTGTTTTAATTTTAGTACAATATCTTTTTATTCTTAGATTGCTATCACTTCCTACTATTTGATTGCTATCTTTCACTTCGCTTTTCTTAATATCTAGTTGTTTTTATTGCTTTTTGCCACTACTTCAGCTCATCCTCTCTTTAGCCGAGGTTATAATGAAAATAACCTATCTGCCCTCCCAGGGTAGAAGTAAGATTTGCATACAATCTACCTTTTTCAGACCCCACCTGTAGAAATCTATAGAGTTTGTTATTGTTGTTGTTAGGAAAAGCAAGTTTTATATTGATGTGTTTAATCCAACTAATTTTTATTTTTCAAAGATTTTTATTTAACTATAATACAAAATTTAAAATATTAGATTTTTTCTTCTTAAGTTTGATTTGACCCATTAGGGCCGGGTTTAAGGGGTAAAAATTTGAGCAATTTATGCAAATATCCATTAAGCTTAAACTAATTAACTTTCTCTACCCATTTGAAAACTAGTTACAATATATACCTACCAAATTAAAACTAATTACCCAACCTACTTTTCTTACCCATTTGGATTAACATAGCTTGATTTGGCTTGGTTTGAATTGAATTGGCTTGGCTTGATTTGGTTTGGTTTGGCTTGGCTTGGCTTAGTTTTGGTAGCTTAGTTTGACTTTATTTGGTTGGAAGGGTTGGGCATTAAAAGAAAATGGGTAGAGGAAAAATTTTATGGGTAGGGCGGGTAAATAATTTATTGTGGGAGGGTATTTATAAAAGATCCCCTAAAAATTTCACGGGGTGCCCTATTTAGTCACCCATATTTAACTTGTACTAATTTTTTTTCTTCAAAAAATTTAACTAATAACTAATTTTTGGGTAACTTCATACGCTTTTCTCTTCTTCTTCTATGCTGCTTTCTTCTTCTCTGTATTCATGTCCCATGTATCCAGGAGCTTCATTGTTGCTTTCTTCTTCAATGTATTCATGTCCCATGTATCCAAGAGTCGTTCTGTTTCTTCTTCTTCTTCTTCTTCTTCTTCTTTTAGATTTGTTGTTGTTTTGACTATTTGATGATTGAGATTCTTTATATTATTTGAAAGTTATGCTTCAAATTTGAGCGTATTTGAAGTAAATTTGAGCATTGAATCGTGTGTTGGATTATTAAAATTTGACGAACAAGTTTATATTTTAGAATTTAAGATTCGATTTTTCGAAGTTGCATTGAAGAGATAGAACCACTTAAAATTTGAATTTTCTGAGGCAGCATTGAATAAATAAAAGAACTTAAGATCTAATTTCTGAAGTTGCGTTGAAAATATAGAACTGCTTAATATCCGATTTTTTAAAGTTGCATTAGAAAAATAAAAGAACTTCACATCCAATTCTGAAGTTGCATTGAAAAGATGGAAGAACTTCATATCCAAGTGCGTAAATTTTGTCAATTTTTTGTGCAATACAGGTATAACTTCATTGGCAGCCCCAAAAGTGGGTATCTATGAACTTCTTCCATTCAAGGGTTAGGAGTTCAAGGGTCGGGCCGGGTCAAGAGGTTTTGGTTCACGAGTCGGACTCAGACCAGCTCTTGTTAGAAAGTGAACCAAACAAATTCGGTTAAGGACCCACATGCCAAAAATTAATGGCTCATTTAACAGGTCTAGTGCCAAGTTCAAGACTCCTTGAAAAACATTTGCTATCTCATAAAAGGTTAGTCTTTTTAGCTCTCTTTTTTTTAAAAAAAAATTCCTTTCATTTTTCCTCTCCACTTCATCAGATCGATTCATGTACACTTTTTTTCTTTCTTTTTTCCTTTCCAGTGGAGATGGTGTTGCATCAGGGATCGGCTCTTAGCCCGTTTTTATTTGCCTTAGCGTTAGAGGTGCTGACACGACACATACAAGGGGAGGTGCCATGGTGTATGCTATTTGCTGATGACATAGTCTTGATTAACGAGACGCGAGATGGAGTTAATGCTAGGTTGGAAGTTTGGAGACATACACTGGAATCTAAGGGTTTCAAGCTAAGTTGGTCAAAAACTGAGTACTTGGAGTACAAGTTTAGTGATAATATGCATGAAAAAGGAGTGGAAGTGAAGATTGGTACTCAAGTTGTCCCCAAAAGAGATAGTTTCAAGTATTTTGGGTTTATTATTCAAGGCAACCGGGAGATTGACAAGGATGTTACTCATCGTATTGGAGTGGGTTGAATAAGAAAGAGATTCGCCTCGGGGGTTTTGTTTGATAAGAATGTGCCACCTGGACTTAAGGGCAAGTTCTCTAGAGTGGTGGTTAGATCGACTATGTTGCATGTGGCTGAGTGCTGGCCCGTCAAGAAGTCCCATGTCCAGAAGTTGAAAGTAGCCGAAATAAAGATGTTGAGATGTATGTGTGAACATACCAGGAAAGACATGATTATGAATGAAGTTATTAGGGACAAGGTAGGAGTGACATATGTGGAGGACAAGTTGCGGGAATCGAGACTGAGATAATTCAGACATGTGAAGAGGAGAGACATAGATGCTCCGGTTAGGAAGTGTGAGAGGTTGTCCATGGCGGGTCTGAGAAAGGGAAGGGGTAGGCCGAAGAAGTATTGGGGGAGGTAGTTAGGCAAGACATGTCATTGCTCCAACTTACCAAGGATATGACCCACGATAAAAATGTGTGGAGGTCAAGGATTAGGGTTGTAGGTTGACGGATAGTAGTGTGTTCTTCTTAAGCTTACCAGTTGAACTTGGACTATTTTGTTATTATCTTATTCATGGTTTTTTACTATTATTTGTTGTATCATTCACGCCGTTATCATAATACACTGTTGTTACTATTGCTTGCTATTTGTTACTTTATCTCCATTGTTCCTTGAACCGAGAGTCTATCGAAAACAACCGCTCTATCTCTATAAGGTAGGGGTAAGGTCTGTGTACACACTACTCTCCCCAAACCCCATTTATAGAAATATACTGGGTTTGTCTTTGTTGTAACCTTTTCTTCTATCTCCCATTTATCTTATTAGACCATAGGTTCAACCTCCTTTTGCTTTTCGTTTTCTAATACATTTTTAGACAATATTATTCGATTAATTGTACAAATAATATATCTGATAACATTAGTGAAATAAAATACAAATTTAAATTAATCAAAAAATATACATTTTGGATAAGTTATTTCATAAAATATTAGATTTTTCACATTACTTGATATTATGATCAAGATAAATATTATATTAAAATTAGTGATGCAGATTTAAAATTTTGGATCTGCTGGGACTTGGGTAAACCTTGTTTTGGTTTTTGACCAGTGAACTATGCTAATTATATATCAAGAACTATAATTTAAAGAGGCAAATAATGGGTTAAAAAAACAATAGACCTGACCTTGAAGTATAGATTTTCAAATCTGTATAACCAAAATTCCAAGTTCCCAACTAACGACATCTTGCGAATAACTGAACTAATTCTTGTGGCAAAAGCCACCAAAACGGTGCCGTGTACACCTCGCCTTCCTCATTAGACTTCCATGAACCCCAGTCCCTTGTAGCTGATATTCAGTAGAAAAGAATATAGCACAAAATGGTGCTTAACCCCTACAATTTCTTGCCCCAGAAGTTTCAGTTCTAAGATACCCAGTTTTATTTTAGTCCCTTTACTTCTCATATTTTGTCAAGTTAGTGCTAATACAAAAATGCAAGTGCCCAGGTTTCTCTTGAATTCTAAGAATCGCTCTATACAGACCCTGAATCCGTACAAAAGGTAATTAGCTGCATTTTGTATAATCTGAACAGTGTTGAAAGTTTGTGGGTTTTGTCTTGTTGAATTTTTATGGCTTTGATCTTTTATGAGCATTTTTAATGTCGTTGAATTATGGATTGTGGAAATGTTATAGGATTTAATTATTCTTTATTTTAAAATCCAAACCATGTGATAAATTCAGATATGCTTCGTGTGTTAAATTCAAATATGCTTTTGTAGTATGATAAATTTAAATATGCTTTGTGTAGTGTGGCTAATTCAAATATGCTTTGGGTAGTGTGTTAGTATGTTAATAATCTACTTAGATTTTGAAAATGACGCGACGTAGTGGATGAAAATTTGTGAGAAGAAAGTTCCCTTGATGAACCTTAACTCTTAACACTATGATTGCTAGTTGAAAATTCTCCAGTTTCACTTTCTTAGCAAACCCTAGAAATGATGCCCCTCCTATTTTCACCAAGACCAAGCATAGCAATATGAGAGAACAAAATGTTACTGTTGAAAGCTCTAACTGTGATTATTCTTGATGTTTGGTTGAAGAATTGGAGAAATGAATTTTTGATGAACACACTGGCTCTAGTGTTCTGTTGCATTCAATATTGGTTGACTTGGAGCTAGTAACATCTATCTCCTAAAACATGAATGATAGGAATATTAATGCTGAGAATACCTCTCTCTGCAAAGAAGATAGTGAAAATAAAACAGAATTTGAAGTATCTGGGCAAAAATCCAATCGTATGACTTGTAAACACAGGGGAAGTATAAGTGACATTACCGTTAAGGTTGCTTTTAGATTTGATTTGGACTACAAGATGACTTACTAAAGTTCCTTTGGATGCACGTTTGTGGTTAAGGAGTCTTGTAGACTTAAAACTGGTCTAACCCAATGAGTCACTTGTGGTGTCTTGGGTTAATGAGTTTCAATTGATAGCACAGGAGGCTGTCTTGGTTAAGATAGATTAAACAAGAGACTTGGAGGACACCTTATAAGGAAACTTGTGAAGTTTCGATTTATGTGTAACTCTTAGTTGACCTGTTCCACTATGTAGTTCTTACAGTGGCCAACTTTCACTTTCTAGTTTTCCCTTAGGGATTTTGCTAGTTGTAAGTTTGTAAGATCCAACACGAAATTTGATTTTGACTAAATGATTAGTAGCAACATTAATCAGGAAAGTAATGGAGAAACTATAAGTCTAAAAGGTAGCAAATGATTACTACCGCTTCACAAAGAGCTAAGTTGGGGGGAACCTTGATCTTTTGTTTGCAACAAAGAAAGAGGGCGAGGATTGTTTCATGGCACGTCAAAAAGATTCTGTAGGCTTCCAATCTTCAGAAGCTTGATGTGGAGAATGCCTTAAAGTAACTCTCCATCAGATTGAGCTTTTGTAGGATTTGTGGCTCATTCAAGGTTGTAGTTATGCTCGTGCACATTTATAGCCTGTTTAGAGTGCGACAACTTCATTATGTGACTGTAAAGTATGGCAAAAGAGATGACTCTTCACTGTTGTGAGCTTGACGTGTTTAAAATAGGGAAATATATGTGGAGCTTCTTTGCTTATAAATTTTGCAGAGAATGAACATTTTGAATGCATAAGATGTATCTATGAGGAGAGATGCATTACCACGTGAGTGATAAAAATGAAATTGAGTCATGAATAATTTTTTCGAAGTTTACTTGCAAGAATCCTGGCAAAAGAATCTAAAATATGCAAGAAGAGACACTCTATCTAGAGTCATCACTTCAATTGAAATTGGAACAAATTGTTTAAGTTTTATTCCTAAAGAAAGTTATGTTGTATTCTTGATGCAAAATCAAGCCCCAGTAGGTTCAGAGCTGATTCTTGCCATGGTATCCCCCCCCCCCCCAAATAAAAAAGAAAGGGCAAATAAAAAAGAGAAAACAGAAATGAGAAAAGATTCAAATACATGTAGAAGAGAAAGGGTAAAAGTAAACCATTTCATTTTCAAATTCTGGAGTGTATTGCAATTTTTCTGATTACTTGTTTCATGTGTAGGTTTATCACACCTAAGCACTTCCATTCATCCAGCTGCATGAGATCTGGTAGAAAGACTAATGATCAGCCTTTATTAACTGGATCATCCTCAACTTCAAAATCTTGGAACCCTTATATATTAGTATTGCATTTGAACTCCATTTTCCTACTGAATGTTGCTTTGTGACTGTAATGCATGTGCTCTGTGCATTTGTCTTTGCCTCCTTTAACGTAAATGTCTTCATCTTATTTCTACTTTTGCAGCCTGGAGCTCTTTTGGGGGGATTCGGTGGACTGGTCCTTTTTCTTCATTATAATGATGAAAGGAGAGCAATTCCAAAAGGTGGGGGCTCCGGAATATTTTTGGTCAAAACTCTATAAATTGAACCTGACCTTGGAACTACTTTTATGTGTCTTTCGATCTACTATGTCTCAATCACTTATGTGCCTTTGAATGTGGTGTAATCCTCTTTCAGAATGTGACATTTCATAGAAGACATGACAATATTGACGAGTCCGTATATTGTACAGCATCTGTACCTGAACAGATGTACTGACAGTGCTTGAAAATATCATACATCCTTTATTAAAAGTGGTTATCAGCCTTTGTTTAACAATTGAGCGCAAGAACTAAAGCCTCTTTTGATTGCTAAACTTCCATCTACCAGAACTACAGTCTAAGTGGTATTTTCTTCCCGGAGTCCGGCTTATAATTGAGCCAAAAAGAGGCATAATGAGCTCGTTGATAGACTTCTCATGGCAATCTCAGTGTCTTTTCTAGTTTAAACATAAGAATTCGTAGAACTATCCTCCTCTCTACTTATTTTTTTCTTATCAGAAAGTGATGATATGTTCGTCCACTTGAATCATGCTTTTTATGGAGCATGTAAATTTTAATAAATATAAAGCTTCACTCGTTTCAGGTCAAGGCGAGAAATTTGAAAGAAGTGCAATCCAAGGGCCAATAATTGGAGGCCCCTTCAGTTTAATTGATACAGACGGTCGTGTTATAACGGAGCGCAACTTGCTGGGAAACTGGGTTCTTCTCTACTTTGGTTATACTTCATCTCCTGATGTTGGTCCAGCAGAAGTCCAGAAGATGGCTAAGGCTATTGATATTCTAGGTTCTACTCAGTTTCTTTGAATAGAAATGATATTTTCTTATTTACTGACTTATGTTACTGATGTAGTAATTTCCTTTTTGCTTTGTGGTCCTTTTTGCTTAACTTAAACAAGGGTCAAAACAGGACCTTAAAATTCTCCCAGTATTTGTCACAATTGATCCTCAACGTGATACGCCTTCACAACTTCGAGCTTATCTTAAAGGTCTGCATCTAGCCTCTCTGATCTCTTTCTCTCTCCAGGTTCTGGAATGGATGTCTTACTGAAAGAATTGTGGAAAGAGATCCTACAAGGGGTCGTGGGTTTGAAGAGAAAGGGATTCAATCATATAGTTGTCCTTTTATTTGATGTTTATTTCTACACTTTATTTTTGGTAATTTTATTTGCATGAAATGCAGAGTTTGACCCAAGAATAATGGGATTAACTGGACCGGTTACTGCTGTTAGACAGATGGCACAAGAATACCGAGTGTACTTTAAGAAGGTTGACGAAGAAGGAGATGATTATCTGGTGGAATCTTCTCACAACATGTAAGCCTTAAGTCCTATATTGTCATACATGCAGCATTCTCAAGGAGAATAAACTCTTTCAGTTTTTTTTTTTACTTGCGCTACAGCAGTTTTCCCAGAGTATAAATGGTTATTGATGTAATAGGTATTTGGTGAATCCAAAAATGGAAGTAGTTAGATGCTTCGGTGTGGAATACAATGGGGAGGAACTGTCGAATGCAATTGTCAAGGAGCTAAAGAAGGCCGAAACATAGTGATACTTTGGGTGAATTTGGCAGATTAAGTAAGTCTTGCTTTGGTTAGGTTCTTATATCACCCATACATCTCTTCAGCATCATATTCAATGGTCTAAGTGTCGTACTTTGTTTATTTGTTCTAGATGTACAACTTCAATTCACAAAATAAACACAAGTGCCAATAACTTTATTTGTCCTTTCTTTTAAAAAGAATCTTGTTTGTCGTCTGTTGCTGTCTCCAGCTCTTCTCCAATTCTTTTGTTAAATGTTGCATTATCATCCTCTCGGCCAATCTATGGCTAAGATTTCAGTTATCTGCATACGACCCAACAAGTATTAATTATAAAGATAGTGAACTAGTGACGAAAATCCTGCTAAATTTTGTCAATAATGGAAACATACACAGACACACACAAAGGGAAAAGATAGCTATTATATCATAAGGTGTTCCTGCCAAGAAAAGAAGTGCACGAAAAATTCATGAGACATTATTTGTATGAGGGCTCCATTAAGTCACATATTGGTTATGGAACTAGTTTTATAATTATGAAACCCATATGAGAGACGACATGGGATTAGGCTTAAATATTCTGTTCCTCCCAATAATGATGCTGCCAGTTTCTTTATTGCTTTGTTTTGATTTAGTCTAGTTTTACATTTTACTGTAAAAGAAGTTCAAGAACAAGGTTGATCCATATGTTCTTTTTTCTATTTAAAGAAAATAAAAAAAAATAAAAAAAAATCAACAAAATGGTTTATTGTCCCAAATGTGATGGCTACTTAAATTCTATCATAACTGCTATAGCAGATAGCTTTTAGCTTGTAGAACACGGTTTTTTCTTTTTTCCTGACAAATATAGTGGATAAAATGGTCTGTCTCAAACCTTGACATTGGGGGTCCAAGTCACCAAGTGAGCAAAGTGGGAAATAACCACTCTTGACTCCTACATATAGTGGGGTCTAGCGCTGGGGTTTAGTATATCAAAAGAAAAGAACAGAAAAAGAGTTGGCTGCCGAATGAAAGTTAAGCCACGAATTGATTAAGATTTTGACGCGGAATTACTTAACAAATGAATTGGGAATCCTCCAAATGGTTAACGAATTGGAAAGCAGCCAGATCCTCAGTTTTCTGCTGTCACAGTCGCAGAAGAGCATTGTATACTAATTTTTTATCTTCTTTGTGTGCTCCATTTTAAATTACCATGTACCGTGCAGCTTGAGAGAATTTGAATAACTAGTCGAATTTAGCATATGAGAGGTACCAAGTAGAGTAGGCCAGTGTATCAATCCTATAATCCATTTCGCTCTATTTGGAGCTGCTATAATAAACCGACGTGACGTGTATCTAGGAGAGTATGTCTGGACATACATTATTACGAGGATTCAGAATGAATTGATTACACTGTCTATCAACCTAATGTAACTTTCCTCTTTTTTCTGTGTTTGGGACCAACAATGTGAGCTCACATAGAATACGAAGCTTACATGGCGAAGTTGATGGAATGATTTATGCATGGCCATTATTTTGGAGATGCAATCTCCTAATACCTGCTTCTTTGTGATATTTTTGCTTGAACCCTTAATATGTTTATTTGTTCTTTCTGGTGAAGTATACCTATCTTCACCCTAGTTTATTGAATTTTAACTGAATTCTTGATTATGCAAATTGTACAATGTGACATTTTTTTCCGAAGTGATTTTGGAGGGTGTTTTTGGTTGGGGGAAGGGGGTTGAATCAGGGAAGGGGCTGTCTAGAGCTTCTATAGTAAGTCCATGAGAGGGGCCAGAGTGTTTCAAACCCTCGGTGTTATATGGTTAACATGTCAAGTTGTTTCAGTGAAATGCTTATGCTTGTACGGATTTTATACGTTCTCACTTTTAACATTTACATGTCCCTCAACAGGTGCATGTTGTTTCTGAGCAGCCAGACGTTCAATTTTGGTCCATCATCCTGGACTTTTATCTGAGTTTGCTGAGGTGGTCTAATTGTCTGTCAACAATTTAGTTGTTTAGAAAAAGTTTTAAACAGAAATTTCTCTGATGCTAAGATGTCAGATGCTGGAAAAAACTAGCAATCCTTCAGATAAAGCAAATTGGTTATGATACATTTTCTCTGAGAGATTGTTAATTCTTCTATTATCCTCTCCGTTCCCTTTCAAAATTGGTAATACCTGTTCCCACTTCCCACCTCTTTCTGTTCTGGGCCTAATGAATTTTGACTTGGTCGATGGGTAATGCAAAGTAGGTGGTTGTTTGGTTGCATAGTGGCCTCTATAATAAATTGAGAGTAGACACATTCAAGTTTGAAAACATTAACTGACGAGGACTTTGGTGTTGCACAAGCAGTAACTTCTTGAATGGTTTTTGGGCATGAATTTCAGCCCCGTTGTTGACAAAATAGCTGATGTTTTACACCGTTCTGTTGGCTTAGGAGAACAAAAAGGGAAGCGGTCAATGAAATTGAAAACAGTAAAATATGAAATTCAGGCGGTGGTAAAACATGCAGACAATTTTGGAAATAAGATAAGCTTTTAAATCAGAATGAATTGATGGATGTGATCGAAGTTTGATTTTTGAGATTTTATCTCCTACTGTATATCTTTCTCACGGAATGGCTTGGATATGCCATAATAAAGTATGTCCCAAAGAGAAAGGCACTTTATTATTTTAGGGAGTTAAATAAAATTTACTTCAACTACTGTTTTTTCAAAATTTCTAAACACAGAATTAACGTAAAGTCAATTTCACGTAGTTCTTTTGGTATATTTGTTGACGGTTTAAAAAACTATTGACATTTAATGAGAGAAAAGCAGCTTAAGAAGGGAGCTGAGTCAAACTCGGTGATAATGTTACTATTTGCTCTTTTTTTTTTCAATGAGAAAAATATAATTTTTTTTTGACCATTTAAAGACGAGGACAAAAAGTAATGCAAAGAGTAGGTCGATCTATGTTCCAAATCCTTCGATTACAAAACAGCTGGCTACAATACGTGAGCTGCTCGAAGTCTCCTACGTGAACTCCTCTCCCAAATTGGAATTTGTTGAAACTATTGTATTCTAACGGCGTGACATTTGAGTATTTGGACAAAAAAAAGAAAAGAATAGAAGAAAAGAGAAGAATGAGAGAATGAAATAAAAGATTCTTCGAAGAAAGTGGGTGTAATAAATAGCCTTCAAATTATTTTTCTTCTAAATATCTTGAGATCCTCCTTTGTTCCATGACCGGGTCTTTTGGTCTCCCCTTTGACACCACAAATACCAAACCAACACAAATTAACAATTTTAATTTTAACCAAACACAAAAGCAGAAAAAAAGTTTGAAAGAAAAGGTGTTGAAAAATTCCCTTTGCATACATTCATCATTACTACTACTATAATTTTTGTCATTTACCCCCTAAAAAAGTTACTTAATTATTTCTTTTCTTTTCCTATCATTTTTCACATACCATTTCTCTTCCCCTCTCTCGTGCAATCATTCCATATCCATCTTTCCTCTACTAGAAAGAGAGAGAAAGAAAACCAAAAAACAAAAAAGAAAGATATTACTATTGTTTAAGCCAAGCACTCCAGGAGATCATATAGGAACAAACAGATTTTGACAATTATGAACTCCTCTCCTGGGGGGCATTAACCATTTTTGTACCTTTGCATCTTACCCCACAATCAATCTCCTTTCTCTTTCTTTATACAATTTCTAAATGCAATAACTTCTTTTTATGTACATGGGTCCTTCATTTTCTATGTACAAGTTCTCTGTTTCTTCCTTGGCCTACAAGTCTTTTGTCTTTATATTTTTCATCTTGTCTTTCTTACATAAGAAGCTCCTTCATAAGTATTTTTCCAAGACTTGTGCATGTGTTTGTCACATTGCACCTATTTCTTGATCACCAGTTTCTATCAAAAGAAATCCAAGAAAACATTGAAACATATCTCAATTACATCAAATATGGGAGACATTTCTCCTGAAAAGAAAACAGGTTGTGGCCTGTTAAATGCTGTTTTTGGAAGGAGAAACATTTGGACAAGAAGATCAACATCCACAGGCTCACTTCCTACACAAGATACCAACAATGTTAACAATGTAACAAGATCTTCTAGTACTCAAAATTCTAAAAGGCATCGCAATGGTTCCCACGAGGCATTTTTAGACTCTCGTGAGAATCAATCGGAGAAACAAGCGGACAGGATCATTCCAAGGCCTAATCCAAACCAATCCAAGGCCGCGATAGGAGCAGCAGCAGCAGCTCAGAATAAAGCTAACTCTCAAACTGCACCTATTCACAATCAACAGAAAAATGGTCAGGTGGTACAGGGATATAATAATCAAGGAAGAAAAGTACCTCAAGCCGCCACAGGGATATCAGGGGAGCTTGAAACCATGATCCAGGATCATCAAAGATCAAAGGGTGCTAATACATTAGTCCGTGCATCGTCGAGCAATGTGATGTTGTTTGGAAATTTGGGTAATATTAGGCAGCAAGGTGGGAGCAATGGTACTGCTTCCACAACAACTTCAACAGCTAATCATGTTCTTGATTATTTACCAAGAACTGCTAAAGAAGAACCAACAATACCAGCACCACAGAATAATGGGAAATATTCGACGAGTGTTATGGGAAATGTGGTGAAGAAACAGGGCGATCACGAGCAGGGGAAAACAGGCGCTTCTGTTTCCCTTTGCCGTGCACTTTCCACAAGAATGGACCCTGAGCAATTGAAGATTCTTGGAAATGAGGATTACAAAAATGGGAGATTTGCTGAGGCTTTGGCTTTGTACGATGCTGCAATTTCCATTGATCCTAATAAGGCTTCGTATCGAAGCAACAAATCCGCTGCTTTGACCGCTTTAGGAAGGCTCCTTGAAGCTGTTTTTGAGTGCAGAGAAGCTATCACAATTGATCCTCATTATCAAAGAGCTCATAATCGTTTAGCCACTCTATCTGTCAGGTAAATGCAAATTATTATTTTTTTGTGCTAATTTTCATTGTAAATTTCATAATCCCTTAGTTTTATAATTTTGGAGATTGCTATGCTTTTTTGTGTTTAGATTAGGAGATGCAGAGAAGGCTATGTATCATTACAAACAAGCAGGAGCAGAAGCTGATCCTGATGTGGTAACAAAGGCTAAAAATATTCAAATTCATCTCAACAAGTGTACTGAGGCCAAGAGGCAAAGAGATTGGAACACTATTTTAAAAGAAACTGCCCTCGCCATATCGGCTGGTGCTGATTCTGCACCTCAGGTTATTTTCTTTACTTATTAAACCACAAGAATTTGCTATTATTTTCTTTAAAAAACATGCTAATTTTTGTTCTTGATTGGAAAAAAAAAAGATATTTGCTTTGAAAGCTGAGGCGATGGTGAAGCTCCATAGATACCATGAAGCAGATCAAACTCTGAAGAGTGGTCCGAATTTTGATTTTGACGAATGTACAAAATTCTTTGGCCCAATTGGCAATGCAGGCTTGCTAGTCATTCAAGCTCAAGTTCACTTGGCTGCTGGCAGGTTAGTATTCTTGTTTTAAAAATTTTCGTTTTTTTTTTACTTTGGAGGGAAAAGGAACTATTCAAAGTTTTCAAACCATTCAATATTTCACCCCCATTTCCCTTAAATAAATGATAAAGTGGATTTATGTTACCTAGAGATGCCAATGACAAGATTTGAGACAGAAATGGAATATTGGATAATTATAGAGAAAGAAAGTGTTTTATTTATTTAGCTAACAACTCTAAAGGGAAAACCGTGTAGGAGAAAAGCGAAACCAAAAGATGAGTACTTGAGTATGGATTTGGTCCTTAGGTGCAATTTGACATATGCAAATCACTCTGAATCAACATTCCTACTTGCCATTTTTTTTCAATTCCTACTAATCTTTCTTTTGGACTCTTAGTTTGATCCAGCCAAATTTACCTATTCATTCACTTTATAAGACAAAATCAAACAAGCTTTGAAAATTGATCTTAAGGATTTAAACATATTGTTTATTTATTATTAATGTATTACTGATTATATGCCTCCATCCCTCTGTGGACGATCGTCTTATATAATATACAAAACAACACAATCTCAATTTCAAACTAGTTTGAGTCAATTATGTACAGACAAATTATTTTTCAGTAGTTACTCGTTGGCTAATAATAGTTATGATAATAACGACGTGATAGGATCGACGATGCCCTAGCAGCGGCTCAACGAGCAGCCCAGCTAGATGGGAACAACAAGGAAGTAAATACGGTAACTAGGAGGACAAGAGCAGTAGCGAGTGGTAGAACAAAGGGCAATGAGCTGTTCAAAGCTGGAAAATATGCAGATGCTAGTATTGCTTATGGAGAAGGACTAGACCATGACCCATACAACTCAGTCTTATTGTGCAATAGAGCAGCTTGTCGATCAAAACTTGGCCAATTTGAGAAAGCACTTGAGGATTGCAATGCTGCCCTTATTGTCCGACCATCTTTCACCAAGGCTAGGTTGAGGAAGGCAGATTGTTATTTTAAGGTGATTTCTAATTTTCTTTATGCTTTGACATGACTAGTTAGTTAGAATTTTATTCAAATAATCATGAAATGACATTTCCATGTATAGTACTATATATATACTCAAAGATTGGTTGACCTATTAGTTCAACATATATATTCAACGAATCATAATTTAGGCCTGTTTGGTAGCCAGAAGACACTTTTAACTTCTCTAATTTTGCTTTAAGAAAAGAATATATACTTGTGTCGTGAACCATTAGCCCTTTGAAATTTGTTCTTTTGACCAAATGGCTGATTAATTACTCACCCAATCACAACACTATGCTACCAGATTTCACGTATTCTTTCGGTCACATTTATGTGACGCATTACTATTTGAGAAATTAAATTGTTTTTTCTTCTTTTACATGATTTTTTCAATATTTTGTTTTATTTCTAGATATAAAAGTATCGATTTATATATATATTTTATATATTTTTAAATATTTAATTTTTATTTTAAATATTTAAGTTTTAATGTCTGAATTCATGGTAAAATGTAGATGCTTCCATTCTCGTAATCTAGATATATTATTCTTTTTGGAACAATCGGACCCCTGAACAAATTAGCTGGTGCTCAATGTGTTGAACACGAATA